TGAGATCGTCAGTGCTTTTGCGGAAATTCAAGCGGCCAGTGTAGAGAGCTGGCAAGTTTTTCCGGAAAAGCGGCTGATTTTCTGGAAAAACTGGCCAGTCTAGACACAGCCAAGGTGTTATGTTTGTGCCCCCAAATGCCATCATCTTACTTAACCAAAACCCCGCCTGGCCTTGACCCCGAGTCAGAGATTGCTGAGTGAAATAAACAAGTGGTCCAGGGAGGACAAAATGCTGGTTACAGAGTTCGGGGCTTGATCATTTCGTAAGGCCCCAAATGAGATAAAGATAAAAAAGGCTGCAGCGGTTCCAGGAAAAGAGCAAAAGCAGCGTGAGGAGTTCACTTCCCTGAGAACAGACACTTTCTGATTAACCTGAAAAAAATCGGCTTGGAATGAGGCCCGTGGCTGGCTAACGAGCCCAGACCTGACTTTGGCACCACTTGGAGGCCTCTATGAATGAACCCATTGTGCTGGCCAAGAGGAGAGGTGGGTGGAGCCTGATCTGACCATGTGACCCACTGCATTTCACCACAGGATTCTCTTTGGGCAGAGACTGGTGGGTCCGGGAGACCAGTTACTATGGCAACACCTCCATCCCTGGGATTCAGCAGTTCCTCCCTCACCTGCGAGACAGGCCCAGGTGAGCCAGCTGCCAACACAGCCATCCATGGTGCCCATGCAGCACCCCGGAGAAGCCTGACAAATGCACAGCATTGACACCAGTCACAGTGCCCACAAGCAACTCTTAGCTTTCGGTTGTTAATTAACGTAGCATCCCGCCGGGCGTTGGGTGCTGTGCACCGAGGAGAGGGGGCAGGTCTCTGCCCCAAAGCATGTATAATTAGAGACCCAGATAATGACACATGCACATGCCAGGTTCAACCTCCCAAATCTGGGACTCTCTGGTCTAGCCACATCCACGGTCCAGAAGGACCACGGATGTTGCTGGAACAAAGAGCCATAGAGGCGAGTTGCACAAGCTAGCTGGGAGTCCCACGGGTGCTGGGGAGCCCCAGGAGCTGTGCCTGTGATGAGTGAAGAGTCCAGCCCTGGGAGCCCCAGCCAGGGAATCCTGGTGGCAGCGGGGCTGGGACCAGCCAGAAGGAATCCCCAAGTCCATCTGGGAACCCAGCAAGAGTGGGGCCACAGGCAGCAGGAGAGTCCCAGTCCAAGGAGGCTGACCGTGGGAGCCCTGGTATGGGGCTGGAAGCAGTGTGGGGAGCCCAGGCTTTGGGGAACCCCACAGCCCGGAAAGGAGCCTCCCCTGGTCCGGCAAACTCCCTTGTTCAGGACTGCTCAGGTCCTGAGGGTGCCGGATCAGGGAGGTCCAATCTGTAGTGAGTTCAGTGGCTTCTGATTTCTACTGGGATTGTGGCACTTGGAAATCAGACTCTGAATTCACTCCCATTTGCAGGCCTGCGTCGGTTCCTGCTCCCCATAGGCCCCATGCCATGCTGTGCGACAGGGCAGCTGGTGAGCCTGCTTGAGTTCTAAGGGTGAGACCGTTACCTTCCTGTGCAGACCATGCCCCCAAAGAAGTTGGTGTGAGCTGCACAGTAAAAATGCTGCATTGGCCCCTAGGTAGGACATGGGCCAGGCAGCCGATGAGGGCTATTCCTGTCGCCTGCGGGTAGAGGAGTCTGGGGACCCTGCATGCGTGGCAACCTCAGCAGCCTCTTGTGCTTAAATGCCTCTCTTGGAGCTTGGTGAGTATCATGGGCGTGAGGGTCTGTCCTGAGCCTCTCCCTTTAGTGAGCCTCCAGGACTATCTTGCATGGCATTCCTAGAGGCCAGATTGGATTCCAATTCCCGATTTGGGGATTGGGGACAGAGTGACATGCTGTGATGAATGGGAGGGATGCTGTCCTTTTCTAAACCTATCATCCCTGCCACCATGTCAAGGCTGTTCTCCACTCTGGCACTTGAAGTGCAGAAGGTGGGGAACATGGATGGGAAAGGTGCTGTCCTTTTCTGAACATCCCACCTCTGCCACCATGTCAAGACTGTTCCCCACTCTGGCACTTGAAGTGCAGAAGGTGGGGAACATGGATGGGAAAGGTGCTGTCCTTTTCTGAACATCCCACCTCTGCCACCATGTCAAGACTGTTCCCCACTCTGGCACTTGAAGTGCAGAAGGTGGGGAACATGGATGGGAAAGGTGCTGTCCTTTTCTGAACATCCCACCTCTGCCACCATGTCAAGGCTGCTACCCACCTTCTGCACTCAAAGCGCCAGAATGGGGGACAGTCTTGACATGGTGGGAGAAGTGGGATGTTTAGAAAAGGACAGCACTCCTCCCATCCATCACACATGCAGGCACAGATCAAAACCCCCTGGCTGCCCTCCCTCGGCTGCTGTCTGGTTCCTACCTAACTTTTCCTCGGGGGTGGGCTGGAACAGGGCTGCTTGCTCTAGGCGGTGTCTATCTGCCTGCTGATCAGATTTATAACACAGGCAAGCACTCCAGCTATCTGGCCTGTTCTGGAATGGACAAAAGAATTAGAGGCACAGAAGCTGATGCCCAAAGTTTTGGAGGGCTGAGATTCTTAAAGGGAAACATGTCTCAACAGTTAAAGGCCTCAGGAAAGGCTCCATAAAACATCAGCCCAGGGAGCCTGTAGGGAGAAGGGGCAGGATGGTTATGGCTGGGGTGTTGTCATGGCAACTGCTCCCCCACTTGGCTCCCTGGGCCTGTGAGCTGATTCCCTTCTGTGCGTTGAAACTCTGCAATGCCTTCCCTGCAGGCTCCTCCCCTCTCTCCACCCAGGCAGC